TAGTAATCGTACCATGATAAGCAAGTACCTACCAATTACCTGTACAATTTTATTATTTTATAAGTAGAATAATGCACAATAATAACTACAAAAATTTATTCCGTCAAGTTATCCATGAAAAAACATTGAAATAAAATTAAACTTATAGTAATAGTACCATGATAAGCAAGTACCTACCAATTACCTGTACAATTTTATTATTTTATCGATATCTGTTTTTGTTAACAAATATTTAAATAAAATCTTTATTCACAATTCATGCATGATGTCTTTGGATGATTATAAAAATCCCCCTCCCCTTTACCTTTATGAAATAACAAATTTCTTTATTTTTGTAATGATAGGTAGTTAAAAAATGGCGATCTATTACATTTTATAGGGATCTATTACTTTTTTCTGTAAAATCTGTTACGCTTTTTTTCCCGCTGGGAACAACACTGAATTCTTTGTCGGAGCCAGGATTGTTCCGTCAGGATCGTGGCCCTTTGTTTAAGCAGGCAAGGCCAAAGCCGCGAACCCACAATTTACTTATTTGGAAGAGGAAACTGATTTTAGCCAAGTGAGCTGTTTCGGTATTCACTTATTTTGCCCCATGATGAAAAATAAGGAAGGGGGCTTCGTCATTCTGGTGTCATATTTATTAAGTACGTCATTTTTATGTCACATTTATGACGTAAGCAAGTGTGAAATAATGACTGGTGTGACCTAAATCTTATGTAATGGGTATGATGTCAGTGTTACGTCAAGATGTTTACGTCATATTTATGTCATATTTATTAAGTCAGAGTCTGACGTAAGGAAGTGTGAAATAATGACTCTTATATGAATCAGGTCACGACATATTTACGTAATTGAGTTTACTGGGACATTGTTTCATGTTCCATTTCCCACGCTCCGCACATCATTTTTTTTTAAAGATTGCACATTGTTGGCAAATTGTTCTCAAATAATTTTGCACACTTTTTGCACATTTCATTTTCGCCAGGGCCCAGTGATTTCGACCCGCAGTTCGTCATATACCCCTAAAATCCGAAACTTATACGCCCACTTCTTTTGTCGGCTCGCACAAATCTTGGATTAAATCTTGTCTGTGACAGTGTGAGTGTAATACTATGCTTTTTCTACTTCAATTAAGTAATTTTCATTGCTAACAAAATTTATTATAACCTTACTTTTCCCCGATTTTAAAGATCATTATAGTCGACCCTCGTATATATAAACAAATCTAACATCTGTTAACCTTACTTTTTTCCAATTTAAAACCCGATTGGTTCAAATAACAGTGAATATTAAAATCAGCCAGTCACTGCAGCATCATGATGCCTAACAACGTGAATAATGAGTTCATTATTCACGGTTATATTGGTTACCATTATTTACGAAAAACCCCAAATAATGTCAATAATATGCAATAGAAGTAGGCTTTAATTTATAGAGTAAGAGTAAATATTTTAATTCAAATTGCTCAGGTAACAAAAAATCACATAAAAAGGTAAATACATTAAAGAGGGTTATTAACAATTTTATTTGCAAAATTATGCAAAAGTTTATAACTAAACTGCGCACCAGTCAATGTGTCGCGACCAAAAATTTTGTCCTTTTTCAAAACGACATAACTTTTTGGTTTCTTGAACGATTTTCTTTTGGTTTGTGATGTTTGCTAGCTTCATTCTCTGGAAATTCATGCTGTACATTTGAATGGAATATGACCCTTCTAATATCACTTTTATCTATGGAATGACATATATTCCGTAAAGTGTTACAGAATGAAATATTCTATCATCTGATGACAGAATAAGCACTCGTGGCGACATCATGCTGTACATTTGAAGCTCACGGTTCTTCAAGTAACCCCTACAGGGTGATATGTAAAAGGGTGAAAAATTTCAATAACTTCATCCAAGCCCCGTTTGTAAAAAAAATACTTTTTTCTACTCCTATAATGGAATATGACCCTTCTAATATCACTTTTATCTATGGAATGACATATATTCCGTAAAGTGTTACAGAATGAAATATTCTATCATCTGATGACAGAATAAGCACTCGTGGCGACATCTCTGTTTTTAATATCTAACAAATTTTTGACCGATCCAACCTCACTTTCTTCCAATTAAATTATTTGTCTATGGTATTTTTTGGAAACGTAGAAAAAGTATAGTCTGAAACACGGAGTATTCCAAACTTGTTACAGAATATACTATTTTCTCGTTTTTACTTTGAAATAATGAAGTATGATGTCTTACCTTGAAACGTTTTTCAAATTTTTCGAATTGGAATCTAAGTAACGAAAATATGATTTTTTTTTCAAAAGGGTACATTTGATGCTTTTTTGTAGGCAATACACTCAGTCTTTTTAAGATAAAAAATATAAGATGGTGAAAGATTGTTCCTTGAATAATTCTGAACAAGTGACAAGCAACAAACTTCCATTAATTTCAGAGGAACCTAAGCAAAGACCACTTTTTCAATATGACATTTTGGTGAAAATTAAACCTGAACCGATATTTACGTTCGTGACATGTTTGTTTTATAATTTTGACCTCCTGATGTGATTCAGTTGTCAAATTTAAGTTTTAGATAAAACCAACATCACCAAGAATCAAAATTCTAAAACAATTCCAGGCTGTTAAATGTCTCAATAACATGCATTTGCCAATGCCATTTGGGGATTCATTTTTTGGGAGAAATTACTGCAATTTGTTTGAGTGGTTAGGATAATGTTACATAAATTACATTTATATTGTGCACTAGTGATAACTTATTACTGATAAGTACCTACCTAATTGGTAATAAAGTTAAATACAAAATTTATTTGTTCATTTTTTAAAATTTTATGCGAAGATATAATTTTAATAAAAACTACAACATTCAACAGAAAAATGTAACAAACAATAACAATAATAACTTTCAATATTTCGTTGGCCCTCCCGTAATAATTCGTTAACCCTCCTGGGCATATCCTGCACCAAGTTCCTTAGAAATTCCTGGGGTATGGCTTCCCATTCTTCCTGAATCGAATTTACCAATTCATCCAAATTTTCCATGCATCCTTTTCTCTCTTTCATCTTCAGTTTCATCCTCCTCCACACATGCTCAATAGGATTCATATCCGGAGACAAAGGTGGCCAATTCATTCTCTCAATATCATGGTCCCTTAAATACTCATTTACGATATTAGCGCGATGCGGACGGGCATTGTCGTCCACCAACACCAAATTATTGACATTTAATTTTCATCATTTGATTCTTAATTTGATCATTCAGTGACATGATAATAACGCACTAAAGATGCAAAATACAGTAAAAACCAGTACAATCCAGCAATCAGATTTTATTGAGAAATTTAACAGCCAGGAATTGTTTTAGAATTTTGATTTATGGTGATTTTGGTTTTATCTGAAACCTAAATTTGACAACTGAATCACAATCAGGTCAAAATTATGAAGAAAACATGTCACGAAAGTAAATATCGTTTAGTTTTCTAAAATGTTCACCAAAACTTCATTTTGAAAAAGTGGTCTTTGCTTAGGTTCCTCTGAAAATAATGGAAGTTTTTTGCTTGTCGCTTGTTCAGAATTATTGAAGGAACAATCTTTCACCATCTTATCTTAAAAAAGCTGAGTGTATTTCCTACAAAAAAGCATCAAATGTACTCCATTGAAAAAAAATCATATTTTTGTTGCTAAGATTCCAATTCGAAAAATTTGAAAATGTTTCAAGGTAAGACATAATACTTCATTATTTCAAGGCAAAAACGAGAAAAAAATATTTATTTTACAAACGGGGCTTGGATGAAGTTATTGAAATTTTTCACTGTTTTACATATCACCCTGTAGTAAATTTAGTTGAAGAACCGTGAGCTTTATATCTATAGCATGAATTGCCAGAGAATGGGGCTAGCAGACATCACAAACCAAAATAAAATTGTTCAAGAAACAAAAATTTTTTGGTCGCGACACATTGAGTGGTGCGCCGTTTATTTTATTATTAAATGTCTATATTTCATTTAAATACAGTAGAAACCACCAATATATGAACGTGACTCATCGGGTGCCGAATATATCTCAGACATGCCAAACGTAGGTTTGTAAGCATCCGGTCTAAAATGCGCCATCTGTGATGTAAAACTGCCTAGGTGTTCGACAAAGATGGACATATGACGCGGGTCCTAGCTTGTTACTTATTTTTGTTGGAATTCAGTAGAGTTCGTGTTTTAGGCAATTTATTTTATTTTATTACATAGTAAGGCAACCAACTCTACCTTTGGCCATTTGTTTTTATATGTCATATGATCTTTGTTTTTGCATATCGTGTTTCTGCTGTGTGTTTACGGATTAATAATCGTTTTAAACGTTTTAGTGCTAGTGGTTTTTATTGCAATTGTTATTGCACGTTTATTGGACTTTAAATAAACGGTGTGTGTTTAAGGATTAATAATCGTTTTAAACGTTGTAGTGGCAGTGGTTTTTATTGCGTAGGTATTTTGATTTAAAACGGTAAATACAAAGATTAATTAATTATTAAAATTTAACTTTAAAAGCAAATATATCAGAAGTATAGCAACCAACATTACACTCAAGTGTTTGTACAAATACTTATGCCTCCGTTAGAACAGCACTGCACTGGAATACAATTGTGACCTTCGATAGATTGCTTCGTACGATTGTGCATGATGAGTCATGTTCATATATTAGTGGTTAGTACATTATTTTATTAATAACAACTTAATAAATAATATATAGTTTATTTAATAAGTTGTAGAACATATATTATATTTCAAAATCAATGTTATTCCTTAAATATTTAAGTATTGCATAAAAGCTTAAAAGTCAAATGAAATATGCGTAGAAAGAATGGTAAATAGCAGGTAGGAAGAATTATTGAGTTTAAAAATAAAAAAATGGCTTAATTAAAAATTTATAATATATTTATATAAATTTATTTATATATTTGGGCATTGAAATATTTTGTTATTTTTAGTTGTATATTTGTTTAAGGACCACCATGGTTACCTTTGGTGGGGAATTTAAGAGACCTAAAGAAGCTATCAAACAGTTTAGGCGGACAACATTTAGCGTTACAGGATATGGCTCGACGTTATAATACCAATATTCTTGGACTTAAATTGGGAAATGATTATGTGGTAACAGTATTTTCATATGATATTGTAAAAACTGTTTTAATGGGTGAAGAATTTGAAGGCAGACCGGATAATTTTTTTATTAGACTAAGAACAATGGGCACAAAAAAAGGTTAGTAACAATACTTATTTAAAATACATATATAAAATTATTAGAAACTTAATTTTCTTTTGAAAGGAAATATTAAAAATTTAAAATGGTATAAAATCTGTATAATTTGGATTTTTTAAATGAAATTTGAAAATTTTCGATAAATTATGGTAAATAATAAATTGCACCAATTAAATTTACATTATATTTATTGGGGCGCCATGGGGCCAGTACGGCCGAGCAAAAATTTATCTTTTTTTCGCAAACTTCAATTTAAATTCTGCTTGTTTTTTTAATGTCATTATAATAAACTCATATAAATTTGGTGTGGGTCCCATATCTAATAATTGAGATATCGGTATACCCAAAATCCACCAGCCGCCACTGGTTGTAAATTACTAAATACAAATTACAACTTGTAATATCGTTCAGCTATATAATAAACATAATTGGCCCAAGAACTTAACCTTGGGAAGTAGCAATTTTTTTAATGTTTTCCAATAGATTTTTGATAATAATACATTGTAATTTAAATGCCCGGAATTAAAGGGTATGCTGAGATTATATCCCTTTACCATGCTATGAAAATATTAGAAAAAAAAATCTCGCCAAAACGCGGACAAAGTTTTTGAGAATTTTTTGTTTGTTTTATTGTTGGTTTTATTGCCAACTAAAAACTATGAAAAGTGTAAAAAACCCATGACTCAAAATTACAAATACCAAAAACGCCTTAACGAGAAGAAAAACCAGAATAATAACGATTAACCACGAATTAACTGGAAAATGGCATTTAATATTAAAACAATCATAATTCCAGAACAACAAATTCTCGCCACTCGGTGCTGTTAGTAAATGTTATAATATCCCGATAAAAAAAGATTGTATATAATTGTATGAAATTATATAAGTATATAAAAAAACCGACCCGATATAATTATATAGAATTCTATACAATTATATATAATCATATATTATCATATTCCTGCCAAAAGTCACAAACTGAAATTTTGTAAAAATCTTAGTTTAAATTACTAACCAAATTTACCCTATCTTTAATGTATAAAAGTCACTAAGTGCTTTAAGCATTATATGCATATATGACTTATACATTAAAGATATGGATAATTTGGATACACAACTATGTTTTTTAAGATTTTCAAAAAATGTCAGTTAGTGACTTTAGGCAGGAATATAAAAATATAATGTCATTAAAACCCAATACATTTAAAAGATAACTACATTTGTAAGAGACCTGCTGATCAGTTAAGAAAAGTTTGGTAGATAACATATGTAACAGGATATTGGGATATCCCAAAAATATCATAGAACGTCCTCGGACCTTTTCTTCTAAATTAGCAAATTAGTGGTATTTCTTCTTCTGATTAAAAAGGTTAAAACAGAAAAACAACTGAACGTCGAGTTTCCGAAGTTATTACAAAAATAACAAAAAATTAAATGGGACACCCTGTATATTTTTACATATTTTGAAAAACAACTTAATATGGAACAAAAAATTATTATAGCATTACTACCCTAAACTTAAAAATACACAATTAATACTGGAACTTTCTAATGGTTGTTGAATTATCCAAATTATAACAATCAGTCAAGCAAATTAGTTTTATTTAAGCTTTAACTTAAAGGGAACACTATAATATAACAAACACACTTTATTAAAAATACGATATCGAGATTCACGCCACAGAGAAAGAATTTCTTCTAACAAAAGGCGACAAAGAACACCGAAAGGATCTTCTTCTTCTTCTTTGCTTTTTTTGGCTTTTCCTTTCCGGTATTTGGCCAGCTGAAACCTTTATCTATAAGTTGGGAGGGCGAGTCTAGGAATTCCTATAGCCGCTCCCTTTTTCAATTTTCTGTCACTGTCACTATTCTTCACTTATTGTTTAAGTTTATCCATATACTTTTTCAGTTCGGTTTACTTACAATAAGTAATAAATTATATAATACATTTCTTGTTCTTAAAACTCCATTTTATCGTCTGATTCCAACCATGCGCCATACTACAGATGGCTGTATACACTGATATATCTTTAAAAATTTCGCCCATCCATCGTGGAAATCATTCGTAACTTACTCAATCGTAGACTTTGTATAATTGTCAATAACCAGCGTATTTTTGTGCTGGGATTCCGATTTTGTCCCTCCAGGCTCACAAACGACCAGCCGTCCAGTGTTGCCAACCCCTTTGAACATTTTATCGGTAGATCCCTTGGAAATTTTCGGTAGATGGTGATAAAATTTCGGTAGATTTAAATTTATGTGTAATTTTTAGTAAAAAAAACATAGGGAATAGGAAAATATGTATTAAAAATAAAAAAAATCTAATAATGTTAACATAAGTTGAATAATTGGATAACGCTTATTAAAAAGGAACTAAGCGCCAAAAACTTCTTCTGGGCTTAGTAAAATTATTTCTAAAAGAACTCATTTTTAATACTGCTCAAAAGGTTGATCATCATTTGGAACTTTTCTCAAAAGGATTGAGAGGGTTCCCAAATCATTATTAATTTTTTGAGCAGCATTAAAAATGAGTTATTTTGCAAGTAATTTTGTTTACCCCAGAAAAAGTTTTTGGCGCTTGGTTCCTTTTCGATAAAAGCTATCCAATTATAAAGCGAAATGTAACGAGAAATAATAAAATTGTAAAAATACAAACACAAAAAAATTAATAATTTACATAAATCAAGAAAACAATCGCCGTTAAATTTTGCATTAAGTTGAATGTTTTGTACTTCTACAAAGCAAAAAGCAAGAATATAAATCTGTTTATTGTATCATGGTAATCTGTGATACCGTGGTATACCATACTATAGTACGACTATTGTACAGATAGTGTCGGTAAAAAAAGTTTTTACCACAAAAATAAAAATCTTTAATACTTCTTAGTACGCCTTTTGTACAAATGATAATGAGTTATTTAATTCCAATTATTCTGTATATAGATGTGATCGCAAAGTAATAAGAGGTGGAGGTGTGTTGATTGCCGTAAACAATAACTACAATTTGCAGCAGATTTCTATAGATTTTCCTTTACAAAATATTGATATTGTCGGTGTAAAATTTAAATATAATAATGTATATATTAACTTATATACAATTTACATACCACCCACTACCACTGTCTATGAACATTCAATAATATATGACTGCTTGGAAAGTATTTTGGATTTTAATGCACACAACCTACTGTCCGGAGACTTTAACATACCTGAACTAAATGATTATTACCAAAATAAAAACTCCACAGTATCCACTTATCAGTTACTAAATTTCCTAGACTTCTGTCACTTAGAACAACAAAATTTCATTCCAAATACAAATAACAGAATCTTATAAGATAAGATATAAGGTCTATAGACCTAATTATATCTTCTGCAAAGTTAACATGCAATTCGGAACGATCACTCGAACCGCTAGTAGATGAAGATCCCCATCATACATCTATCGACTTTAATATAAAAATTGAGTCACAAGAAACAAAAAAATTCATAGAGCATGAAATACAAAAATATGATTTTAAAAATGCAAATTTAACATTGCTATATGATGCTATAAATAACTTGGACTGGTCAGAAGTATATTTGTCTAAAGATGTGGATAGAGCATGCAAAATGTTCTATGAAAAAATTTATCAAGTGTTTGACCGGCTTGTTCCTAAAAAAAAAAAGAGACAGCCGAAATTACCCACCGTGGTTTAATGGCAAAATTATTAAAAACATAAAACTTAAAATACACTATTATAAATTATTTAAAAAGACAAAACGCTTATATTATGGAGACAAATTTGTTAAACTTAGAAGATTATTAAACCGATTATCAAACCGAAAATAATATTAAGTCTAACCCAAAACAGTTATGGAGCTTCGTTAATAATAAAAAGAACTCTAGCAGAATTCCTGGTGAAATGACGATGGACGGAAGATCATGTACAACGCCAAATCAAATTGTCAACGCTTTTGCAGAATATTTTAGTGAAGTGTTTGTACGGCCGGTTGCCAATGATAATTATGATTTACCCATGAACTACGTACAAAATTTTGATCTGCGTCAGATTAGTGAGTTAGATATATTAAGTGCGGTAAAAAAATATATCTTCAAATTTTACCTCAGGACCTGATTGTGTTCCAGCCTTTTTTGTTAAGAATTGTATTGATTTTTTATCTCTACCATTAAAGTATATTTTTAATTTAATCCTGGCAAATAATACATTTCCTGAACAATGGAAAATTTCCAGAGTAACACCGATTTTTAAATCAGGTGACAAATGTTGTATAAGAAATTACCGTCCAATAGCAATCATATGTAACTTTGCCAAGATATTTGAAACTATACTAACAAAATATATTAATTTTCATATTTCTCCCCTTATTTCCCCAGCTCAGCATGGTTTTGTTAAAGGTCGCTCCACGGTCACAAACCTATGTAATTTTACTGAATTTACATCATATTCTTTAAATCAAAAACTGCAAGTTGATGTAATATATACCGATTTCACTAAAGCTTTTGATAAAATTCAGCATAATATTCTTTTACGTAAACTACGTTACTTCGGTTTTAGTGGAAACATTATTAATTTATTTAAATCATACCTGCACCAAAGACTTCAATATGTTGAATACAAAAACTGTAAATCGGAAGTATATTGTGCAACTAGTGGCGTTACCCAAGGGAGTAATCTTGGACCAATATTGTTCTTAATGTTTCTTAACGATATAACAAATGACATAGGCTCAAAAAATTTACTATATGCTGATGATTTTAAAATATTTAGAGCTATTACCACGTACGATGACTGTGTATACCTACAAAATAATCTTAATATTTTGTATAGCTGGTGTGAAAAAAATCAATTATATTTAAACATTGAAAAATGTTACGTTATGAGGTTTTCCAGAAAAGTTAATAATATTGTTTTTAATTATAAAATAAATAATGAATCTTTAAGAAATGTTGAAACAATTAAAGATTTAGGCATCACTTTTGATAAATCTCTATCATTTGTCCCTCATATAAATTTGACAATCTCGGCAGCTAACAAAATGTTGGGTTTTATAATACGTAACACAAAAGAATTTAAAAACCTAGATACTTTGAAAGTCCTCTATAATGCCTATATTCGTAGTAAATTTGAATATGCCTGTGTCATTTGGTCACCATTCTATGATATCCATATTGATAACATTGAAAAAATTCAAAGGAAATTTTGTAGATATTTGTGTTACCTAAATTATGGATACTACCCCGTTTTTAACTTTGACTATGTTAGTGCTTTAATATCCTTTGGCATGGAAAGTTTGGAAATACGTAGAAGAAATGCACGCTTAATTTATCTATATAAAATTGTCCATGGTACTATTTTTGACCCCGATATTCTCTTAAAAATAAAATTTCATGGCCCAAGACTAAATTCTAGATATTGCCAAACTTTTCATGTGGAAGCTGCGAATAATAATGAAAGAAGGAATTCCCCTCTAATTTCAATGTGTCGGAGTTACAATCTAATTGAAGAGAATTGTGATATTTTCAACCTAAATCAATTTATTAGAATAATAAGAGCCTTACCTTAAAATGTACCTTTTTAGGCTGTATTTATTTAGCTTTAATTAGTTACATCCTTTGTATGGACGTTTTGTCCGTTGGATTAATAAATGATTATTATTATTATTATTAAATGATGTCGGTAAAAACATTTTTAATCACATACTTGTGAAAAATATATAATACTGTTGTGTATACTTACTTGTATAATATTTTTATGCAATTTATTCTAAAAAAAGTTATTTTTTTGGATTTTTGAAAGATTTAGATTTTCGGTAGAATATTGATGTCTATCGGTAGATCGGTAGAATATTTCAGAAATCGGTAGTTCTACCGAAAATTCGGTAGGGTTGGCAACACTGCAGCCGTCTCAAAGAACAAAACCCGAATTAAAGAATGCTATACGCCACCTTAGCTTTCTCTCAACCACTCTAGTGTTACCACCATAACGTATGGCGGAAAATTTAAAACAATCGTTAACACAAACTATTAAATGAGTACAGATTGCGTTTGTAATTAAATTTTTAAGGTTAACTGACGCTTACTACCCTATTTATTATTTAGAGACCTCTAAATATGTACCTTACAAACCATTGTTGCTTAAGGTGTTTGAACAATTATTAATTACCAGCTGTGATTTCTGCTATCCAGTTGTATTTTGTGGTCATATAACAAATACACAAAATGTAATATTGTTTTTCTACTCCCACTTCCACGCCCATTATGGTACATGTTTCCAAAATATTTTAAATACACATTGACAAGATGTTACTTTATGGTGTTTTAGTCAAGGGCTGAAATTTTAATTAAATTATACTTGCAAATCTTCACCAAAAATAAATCGATCGATCATTATCACTTACCCACATAATATTAAATAATCCTTTCTTTTTTTTGGTATCAAAATTCTAAACCAATTGAAAATAATTTTTTTGACCTGGATAATTTTCTTAAATTATATATATATATATATAAATATATATATATATATATATATATATATATATATATATATATATATATATACAAAATTCTATCATTGCTGCGTCCATACATTTATAAAATCCCTATCCTTATTGCGTCAACGACCTTACTGCGTCAGTATATCTGACGCACTAATGTCAAGCGCTTATTTCTTAAAATTTACTTCATCCCAGCACTTTCTAAGATTCTTGCTAATACAGATCTGTGTAGAATTTAATGCCCAATTTTTGTGTCCAAAAATTTTTTATGTCCGACCCTGCGTTTTTTAAATATTTAGAAAAATTTGAACACAAAAAGTGTGCAGCAACATACTAAAAATGGAAATAACTTTTGAACCAGTCAAGTTAGCAAAAAATCACAAGAAACCTTTTTTATAGAGCGTTAAATTTGTTACAAGAATATTTATCCTTCTATATAATCCGTTTATTAGTTCATGACTTAAAAAATCCAAAGTAATAACAGAATTTTTCCCATGTTATTTCCATTTAAAACTTTGGCTGTCGGGGGGGCCGGCTTAATTTTAAAATTAAGTGCTGCAATTTGGCACATTATTTTTTTTATATATTTGGAACCTATTTAGGACTATCGTGAAAAAAAAATCGAACACACCCTAAATAAGGACCACCCTAATATATATATATATATATCGATGCCTGTTAAGTTGTCACTTCCGTAGTATAAACAAGGCTTCCTAACTTCCACATGAACGAAGGCTGATACAAGCATTTTAAAACTATATAGGTGAAGGGGAACCTACGTAATCCGAATCTCTAGAGAGGGGAAAGGATTTCGCAAATAAATATTTGTGTACTATGGCCGTGACTTAGTCACTTCCATCATATATAGAGACAATTGCATCGTGGACACTTCCGACAGAGTTGCCAGATTTTCGAGTCTAAAAATAGATTTAGTCTAGTTATCTCTCTCCCTTGCTCTTGTGGACCTTTTTTAATTCGAAAAGCTTAAAGTAAATATTTTGTTATTTGCAATACTTAGTAACCACGATTCGTTCGCCAAGCAAACGTACGGCACATTCGACGTTCGAAACTGGTTATTAAACTTGCATATTATATTATTTTCAAATTAAAATTATAATAATTATTATTTTAAGTGTAAGACATCCAAATTTTATATTTTTATTGTGTTCTTGTTATTTTGTGTGTGTTGGGTTATAATGTCAAACTGCGCTGTGGCTAAATGTATAAACTGTAGTAAATCTACAAAAGGTACTAAAAAATAAAATGTCAAAATTTACTAATTTAAAAAAAAATAGTACCCACTTACATACGTATTAAATAATTAAATAAATAAATAAATAAATAAAGTGGACAACATAATAAAGTTTGTGGATCTTATAAGAAATAATTATCGAGTCCGACACTTTTTTAAATAAATATTTTTCATTGGAGCTGTTATTTTTGTCGGTTGATTTTTATAAATGTTAAACACAAAAATTGTAGGTAGAAATTAAAATTACAATTTTTTTTTTTTAAATCTGCCCATAATTAACTTTAATAAAAAGGTTTGATAATTCAAAAACAAAAGCTCAAATTAAAAATTCTTATTTGAAAAAAGTGATAGTCTCGATGAGATCTCTATAGGTAACCTAATTTAGGTTGTCAATTTTTAGTAGAAACACCATGTATTCATAACATTGATGTTTTCTTTTTCTCAAAATATCTTTTGAATTACCTGGTAAAAACATAAAACACATTGATATTATCCTTTTTTAAATATCTAAAAACATGAAAAACCTTTATTATTTTAAAATAATAACAATAGCAGAAAAACGACGATCATTTCTTTACGATTATCTGCCTTTGAATCTGCATCTGCATATATAATTTTTTATAAACAAAGTACAAATTCGTAGAAATACTAGCTACCTCATAAAAAAATTTTCTTTTACAATCAGTTTTAATAAATAATTGTAAATTTAATAAAACTCGAACGCGCGCCCCAAAATTACATTAAACGAGAAACAACTTCTTCGAGCATGACGTCACAAAAAAATCTATGTAAGTATAAAGAAAATAATTATTATTATGCTAAAAAGGTAGGTATGTAAAAAATTAATTACAACGAATATTTTAAAAATGTATTTAAAAAATTATGCGAATTGAAATAATTAAAATATACCTAATACTTTTATTGATTCTGTTTTATCACGTGCTGAATTTTAGATTTCACCACCATATGAGTTCTTTCGATTCCAGTTTTGTCAAGAAATTTTTTAATTTCATCTCCTGATGGGTAGCAGCCTTTTTGGATATATGTAGTAAAATTTGTTTTTAATAAATGCAGTTCCTTATTGGACCAATCTAAAAAAAATAATTTTGGATGTTCAAGCATATTTTTTCCATTTTGCTCCATACTCAAAATGGAGCGAGACTACAGGTTGCACCTTCTATGTGTATTATATTACTTTTATGGGTATTTTTTTAAAAATAAAAGACAAGTGTGATCTGATGGTCTTTACACACAATATTTAATTTTTATTTTTTACTGTAACATCCACGGTGTAAAGGGAGGTGAATTAAATTATATAAAACTGTGAATGTATAGGGTTACGACATCGTTTTTCCTTATAGATTGTCGACTCACATTTTTTTTTACCCTGTTTTATGTAACCTGATGATTCCACATTTAATTCCTCATGTTTTGTTTCTTCGACCCTTTTTCTTTGAGAGAGCTATTAAATAAAGGTGCATTAGTATTAGTAATATTATATATAATATAATATATTTTTTAACTCAAATACCTTTTGGTTTGCATTGCTTGTTTAAGATATCGTCATTTTCCTCACAAAGATCTGGATTTTCTGAAGGACAATATTCTAAAAAAAACACGTATTTATTTTCTGGCTTAAAAAAACTTTATATTTCTTACATACCCTGACTGTATTTAGTATTTTTATTGTCAATAATGGTTAAATCTAAAATTTAAAAATAAAATTTAGTACTATTGACACAATTTAAGTCATTTTATATACCATTTTGCTCCGTATTTATAGTAAAAGTTGGTTCTTGTGCATAAAACCCAGGAGCATCATTTTCCAAAACAGCATTTTTGTTTTCTAAAAAGTTAACTCTTAGAATTATTACTGTATTTTTATTACCTATATTAAAATTTGTAGTTTCTTGAGTTTTAGCTTACTCTCACATCCATCTTCTTAAGCGTATTCCAGATTAAAATCTAAATCTATTTCTTCCTAACACTTTCCCTTGTACTTAACTGGCATTGTTCCTTTTTCCATCATTAAGAGAAGTTTGGAAACTTTTGCTGTTTGGTACACGTCAACGGGTAATCTAAAAAAACAGACGTATGTTACTTGCAAATGTAACTACCTGAATAATTAAAACAACAAAGTTTAAGGTTATATTATTTTATCTTAATTTTATTAATCCTGGCTTCTACAATACTTACTCGTAAAATTCTTCATGGATTTTTGCAAACTGTTTCGCTTCATTTGGCTTCAGACTTAAAATTTGAGTCACAGTAGCGATTTGCTTTCGCAACTTGTTGCTGGAAATCGCTTCTGGATTTTCAAGTTGAACTTTTTTGGATAATTCTCGAATTGTCACATCACCTTTACCCCATTTTATGACACTATCTGGCATAGCAAACACATAGTCATTATCCTTATCCACAATGTGTTATCCGGTGTTCTAGTAATGCATCAACCATTTTTCCAAGCTCTTCTGGTACTAAAATGACCACACTCCTAGAACCCTTACCACTATTCAATACCCTTTTGTATTTCTTTGTAAGCGCTTTCTCCGTTTCTGTTAAAGCATTCTCAAAGTCTGTATATATATGTATATTATATGTATAATTGGTAGTTTTGTTTGCTTTATAATCGTCAATTTTTAAGTACTGAACATCACCAATTCTACGCCGATTAAACAAAATTAATATTGACAATACACATTTATTCAGTAATTTAAAAGCTTGCTTATCTTTACTGTTCAAAGATAATTTGCTTAAAGCTCCTTCGGCGATCCTAGTAACTTCATCTCTGAATTTTTTTATATCACTTACTAAAGCCAAAAGTAAAGGTTTGTTCCACCGTTTTTCTTGCAGTTCCTTATTCCAAAGATGCCATTTCTATATTCCAGCGGGAATTAACCAATGTTTTAAAATGTTTAACATTGTTAAGCCAAGTGTTTGCATCTTCTGCCGTTTTACATGTGAAACCCCTACTTTGTTTTAATATTAAATGTGTAAGCTCCTCGCAGGCTAACTTTAAGGAAGTGCCTAAATGCATAGCTAGACTTGGCATTGCAAATGTTTTTTTTTTCATGATCATAACCGACTATTTTTCTTGTCGCAAACAGTACGTCGTCAAACTTTTTAGGGTGAAGTATTTCCGTAAAAGTAATCTTTTTATCATTTTTAATTTGTCGAAAGTTTATTAACAATCTCGAGAGTTCACCCATTCTGTTACTACAAGCATACACCATGCGTTCTCTCTTATGCTTCTTCATGTAGGATTCGCCAAAGTTTGCAATAAGCAGATCTGTTTTCGAATACCTAAAAAAAGCAAATTATTTTTTTATGATTTTGAAAAATGTTTAGTAAATATTTTTTACCTGTTTTTTAACATTTAATTTGGCTATAACTTGAGTTGGGTCCATTGCGCATGCCATTATTGTTTGAGAATGTGAAAGTGCATTAATTTTTGGTCCATTTTGGTTTGTATCCCTTTGAGAGCATGTTGCTTACATGTCGCTTTAAATACCCCTTTATAAATATTCTCTTGCAATAGGCACAAGGATAATACGTCGGATCTTCAACTTTCGCTTTTACAAGTTGTCTGTTTGGTCTCACAACTCCACTTATGTATAAATTAAAGTTTGTATTATTTCTTAACATGGCAAAAGCCTGTGGGATGGTTGCGATAGAAATCCCAGCTTAATTATGTGAATTTATTTGTAACAACTTAACAACTCAACAACTTAACAGCAAAAATGTATACAATATCAAGACTACAAATTGCGACGAGTGGCGTGTAAGTCGGCGTAGGTAAGACTGACCGAAGCGTCCCTTCTTCCCGGCTCAGCCACATCTTGCCAGATGCTGTGACACTCGACCTTTGGCCCGGGTTCGTCCATTTGCGGGCAAAGGGGTGTCTTGTCGCTTCTTGGTTTGGGCGAGTCGCCACAAGCCTGTCTCCTTGCCTTACTTCCCTTCGGATAGTTTTTAAATAAATCCATTTCTTCCCCTTCATTTCGGAATCGATGCAGAGTGGCACTTTTTTGCTACGTCCCACGGCAAAGGTGCTTGTGATGGAATAGGAGGTACCGTCAAAAGACACGCGTATTTTACAAGTTTGCAAAAAGATACGGATTTATTATTAACATCTCCCGAGCGATTGTTCGAGTGGGCAAAACAATTTTTCAAAAAAATTCATTTTCATCTTTGTACCAATGAAGAGCATGAAATCATAGAGAATTCTTAAAATCACGATTCTTGAATGTAAAAACGATAAGTCAAACACGTTCGTTTCATTGTTACCAGCCTTCAAAAAACAAATTATTGTGCAGAATATTTTTCGGTCAAACAAAAGCAATTACGATAACTTATACATGAAACTGTTATTTTTTGTATTAACGTTCGATTAAGCAGTCCAATTTTTCTTAGAAAAATTGTTTTTTTTTAAATTTTGCAAATAAACAATGTTAAAGAAATCATGGATTTTTTCTATAAAATAAAAAATTGTTTTGTAGCTCCTTATGGCAGAAAATCATGAATATATCGAGAGTAAGTCGCACGATGGCTGAGCCCGCGCGCGTCTGAACGTGCTCGTCCAGCGCTAGAGGTCGGAGCGCGCGCGGTTACAAAATCATTTATAACTTTTGACCTATTAAAAAATAATAACTTTTTTTTTTACCAAAATTTTCGTAAGGGATTGTAAAATCAGAAAAAATGTGAAAAACATTCCTGGCAGGCGGAGAAGTTTTATTAATTTTCAATTGTTTAAAAAAAAAAGTTTTCTTTTGTTTTTTTAAAGGTTTGCCACTAACAACAAATTTTTTATCTTAAAGTATATTTTTCAACGAAAATTTTGATATAAAAAATGTTAAGTTTTGATAAACCGTTCGGGAGTAATCAATTTTTGAAAAAAACATCCACAAAAAACGTAATTATCAATAAGTATTGTAAAAATCGATTTTTTGCAAAAATATTTTAGGGCAGTTGTTTTTACTCCTAAACCGATTGAAAACCATATTAATTGATGAAAAATTAGACCATCAATTTTTAAGTGGCACACTTGAGAAATTTTGAGCCATTATTTAATATATCAGAATGTGATAATAATGAGGAACAACAGGTTCAGGATCAACAATTTCTTACCGAATTGTTAGGTTGTATTTCTCCAGAAACAAAATTTGAAAATCAACCAATACGTTTAGGAAAATATAGCCAAAACAAAAAACGTTCACTAAAAGTTACCTTGCCATCTGAATCTGCAGAAAAACTCCCATAAAATTAAAGATAATCAAAGTTTTAAGTATGTGTCTATAAGTAAAGACAAGACCAAAAGACAAAACGATTATTATAAATTGATAAAAGTCAGGCTGGATGAAGAATTAAAGAATGGAAAAAATGTCAAAATAAAATATATTAATGACGTACCAAAAATTGTCCAATCTGAAAATCATTTAAACAATTAAAGCCCAACAATACCCATAAAGAATTAAGTATTTACTATCAAAATACACGAGGTTTGAACACTAAAATACGTGACTTCTCATGTGCAGCAAGTGATAATGAATTTGATATTATATGTCTCACTGAAACATGGTTAGTCTCTGCTGTTGAAAGTGCTGAATTATTTTCTAGTACCTATAATGTTTTGAGATGTGATCGAAAATATGACCTACTTGACTGTGCCAGAGGAGGTGGTGTCTTAATTGCAGTAAAGGATAGTTTTAATATATAATAAAATTAACTTTGAAATTGAGAGTGTTAGTGGCTTAGTGGATATCGTAGGTTGTAAAGTTGATGTTTCTTCAAATGTATCTGTAACTTTTGTTGTTATTTATATTCCGCCAAGAATGAATGTGGGCGATTTTCAAAACTTTTTTGATGAATTAGCTTATCTATTAGCAAGTTATAGTGAACACATAGTCATTCTTGGCGACTTTAATGTCCCTGAGTATGTAAACTTAAATGAAGAAAGTAGTAAGTCCCTGCATTTGAATAATTTTTCGGCTTTTCTTAATTTAGAACAATGTAATAATATCGCCAATCTATTTGGTAAATGCTTGGATCTTGTATTTACTAATTGTAATTGTGAGGTTGAATTGGAGCAGTACCCTTTTGTTAAAGTTAATGATTATTATCCTACATTGTCAATTAACGTGAAAACAAAATTATTTAATACAAACTTTTGTAATAATACTGAGAGTAAAATCTACAATTTTAGAAAGGCGAATTTTCCACTTTTGTATAATGATCTTTTACAGATAGATTGGTCATATTTAAACTCATTTGATGACATAAATAGTTCGTGTGAGTCTTTGTATACTAAACTTTACAGTCTTTTCGATAATTATGTACCTAATAAAACCTATATTCATAATAAACAAACATATCCACCGTGGTTTAATAAATCAATAATTCAAAACATAAACAAGAAACTGCATTATCACAAAAAATACAGAAAACAAGTAAACAAATATATTTAACCTTGTTTAAGGAAATTCGCCATATAATTAAAAATGAAATATCTATATCTTATAAACATTATTTAAATAATATTCAGCTTAATTTACAAAATGATCATTCATCGTAATATTGAATACGATAAACCTAAAGAAATAGTTGATACTTTCGCGCAGTTTTTTAATAGCGTTTATATAGATTCGGTTCCATTTGATGATAACAACTTTGTATTTACTAATAATCACGTCTCTTTATTCGCAATTGATGTTGAAGACATATATATATATATATATACAGGGTAATAAAAAAGTTGAAAAATAAAATGACATGATAATATACCAAGTTTTTTTTGTTAGGGATTGCTCTGGAGCCCTGGCTAATCCCCTCTTGATTATTTTTAATAAAATTTTAAAATCTGAGTTGTTTCCAGACATGTGGAAGATTTCTAAAATCATACCAGTATTAAAACGAGGTGATAACTCGCTTATTGTCAACTACCGACCAAATATCAATTTTATGTAATTTTGCTAAAATATTCGAAAGAATAATAAATACAAAAGTTTTTGATCAAATAAAAAATATGTTGTCCCCTTTTCAACATGGTTTTATTACAAAACGATCTACCACAAGTAACTTGGTTTCATTTGCACAACATGCTAGTCAAACGATTGATAGCAATGGCCAATTGGATGTTATCTATACCGATTTTCAAAAGGCTTTTGATCAAATAAACCATTTTATTTTATTAAATAAATTAAGGCGGATGGGAGTTGATGATATGCTTATTAAACTTTTTGAATCATACCTTACTAATAGGCAACAATATGTCATTGTTAATGGTTACTGTTTCGAGTGGTTCGCCTCTTGTTCAGGGGTGCCGCAAGGATCTAATTTAGGACCCATTCTTTTTTTTATTTTTATTAATGACTTGCCATTAAATTTAAGTTGCTCCCGGCTTTTATATGATTTAAAGATTTATAAAGGTATACAAAACTTAAATGACTGCTTTGAACTTCAAAATGATTTAAATACTTTAAACCAGTGGTGTCTTAGTAATCGTTTTAAGTCGAAAATATCTAAATGTAAGATTATGCGCTATACCAGAAAACGAAATCCAATTATTTTTGAATATAGCATTAATGATATTCCCTTGGATACAGTTTCTGTAATGAAAGACTTGGGTGTTATTTTTGATCAACAGTTAAGCTTTGTAACTCACATTAACACAAATATAAAATCTGCAACAATGACCCTTGGATTAGTTTTTAGAAATACCAAAGGTTTTTCTTCTCAGTCCGTTAAATTACTATATTATTCGTTAGTCTGCAGCAAACTTGAGTATGCCAGCGGGATTTGGTCTCCAATATATGCCTATCACATAACAAACCTTGAGAATGTACAGCGTAAATTCCTAAAAATTCTTAACTTTAGAATATTCAATTTTTATCCACCACAGGGTTCTGATCATTAGTTCTGTTAGAGACTTTTAATGTATTGTCTTTGGAATTGAAAAGAAAAATTATTTCAATAACTTTTCTGTAAGTATAAACTTCTTCATGATCAGATCGATTGCATGGATTTGTTGGGTCAATTGTGCTTTAATATTCCTCGTTGTAATAGCCGACAATGTATAACGTTTAGATGTCCCTTTGCTCGTACAAACACACTTAAAAAATCTCCTTTATATGTTATGTGCAACATATTCAATTGTATTTCTACTTCCTGTGATATAATTTTTTCTTCCTTAAGCTTTATAAAAAATTGTTTATCCTAGTGTTTTATATTGTTAATTGTAAAAATTGTTAACTATTTATATTTTTAATTATTTATACACACACCGGCAAATTTAAAGGAACGGAGATAAATTTCTATTTTTTACCCATAACTTGTTTTTCTCCGAATAAATTTAAATGAAATCTCTTAAAAAATGTTAACTAATGGCTTAGTTTGTTTTCCAAAGCTTTATATTCTTTTGAAGCCTAAAGCCATAAACTCAAGACATAAAATTGCGTTTTTGCAAAAAAAGGATTGCACATTTAAATTTGTTTTAAACATTTAATGATCAGGAAAAATAATAAGGATTATTGTTTTCAATAACATGTGTTTCGTCCACGAGCTCCTATGACTGCAGTCATCCGTCTTCCCATATTTCTGATGAGGTTGTCGATCATTTCTTGAGGTAAATTCTTCCATATTTCAATTAAAGCATCTTTTACCTCTTCTTTGTTTTGTACAGCAGGAATTATTTATTATAAGTCGTCTGCCTAGCATGTCCCATACATGTTCTATAGGATTTAAGTCCGGGGAGCATGCTGGCCAATTCATTGTCGGTATTTCCATTTGGTTTAAAAAGTCAGTTACACAATGAGCCACGTGCGGGCGAGCATTGTCCTGCATTAGGAGGAAATTTTCTCCGATATATGGGGCAAATGGTACTACATTATCTTGCAGAACATCTCTTATGTACCTATCTGCAGTTAATGCACCGCCATCAATCACCACCAATTCCGTGCGGGCCCCTAAACATATGCCACCCCACACCATAACTGACCCTTCACCGAAAGAGACAGTAGGAGTAAAATTAAATTGTTCATGTTGTTCTCCAGGACGCCGATACACTCTTTTCCTGCCATCGATCGAATTTACGCAGAAACGGCTCTCATCCGTGAACAAAACTCGACCCCACTGATCTTCGTTCCAATTTTGGTGTTCTCGAGCAAACGCTAGTCGAGCTACTCGATGACGTCTCTGGAGTTTTGGGGCTTTTTTTGAACTATACGACTTTATATCAACTTCTTTTAACCTTCTTCTAACTGTACGCTCACTTATTCTTG